AAAAAAGCCCAAAGTTTTATTTATATAAAACCTATAAATAAATTAAACTTGAAAGTAATATATAAACAAAGGAAGTTGGACTTTGAGTACTATTATTCGGGAAAAAGCTTTTAAATGACATTTTGTCAATGTAAATATGTTGTAAATATTATTGCTTCCATTAATCTGAATGAGCACTTTTCTCATTCAAACCAAACTGAAAATATTACAATACCTTTATAGTAACAGTTTAGTGAAGAAAGATAATTTTAACTCTTCATTAACACTGAAGTTATGATCTTAAGGTCCTTTCCAACCCTAACTATTCTATGATTCTATGATTCAGGTATCTATATATTGTAAGTGCAAAAATGTATCTGAATTATTCCATATTTTTTTCTTTTCATGTTAAATTATTTTTAAGATTAATTACTATCACATCTGAATAAATATCTGTAATATTGCAGAATAGAGAATGTATAGAATTATGTAAGGATAGAATATGCAACTAGTCTACTCTGCTATTTAAAGTTAAAAACAAAATACAAAGTTCCTGTCATTCACCACTATTAACTTTGAATTTGTTCTTCCTTTCTCTCTCCCTTCCATCTTTTCTGTATTTACATATGTTTTGCAGGCTGAAAAATTTTTTAGATACCATATTAATCCATTGGATGCATATAGGCTTCTCTTACTGTGGACTAAGATTTTGCTGTTCTTTTGCCCTTTTACAGCATATATGAAAAAGATGTTACAATACATCTCGTTTGCTATATAATAAGTGTTAGTTGCAATGATACAGTTCTATTTTGAAACAGTTTCAAAAGTTGCAATGATATAGTTCTATTTTGAAACAGTTTCAAATTTGGGGAAAGCATTACATTCATGAGAGAAGAAAAATCCTTTATGGGTCCAATCTGTTTCTATATGGCTTCATTGACTGTGTATACTTTCTCCCAGCACAACCTGTCATGGTGCAAGTCTCATCTTTAAGTAGCTCTATGGCACTGCTGAACGCTATAGCTGTTCACTCAGCTCTAATCATTGAATTTATGCCAAAAAAAACCTTGACATTTTTATGAAGCTTATGAAAAGTTTGCCCTTTAGAAATGTTTGGGGGTTCAGATTGTGTGGTTGGGTTTGCAGGTTTTCTGCTTTCCAACACCCCACATACCTACACCCTGCTTAACAGGAGATCACCTTACTGCTGATTTTGACATTTACACAAGATTAGCATTTGTCAGTCTGCAGGGAACAATCAATTCTCCTGCACCAGTAAATGAGAAAGAGCATTTTATTCCAGCAACCTAGCTACATTCTTCTGAATGATAAATTTATCAGCTTGCTTACATTTCTGCTGAAATTGAGGAAAAAAAAAGGAGTAGCTTGATTTGAACACATATATGAAAACTTTCTCATTATTTGAAAGCACTGTGCAGTAGCAATTATTAAACTCTCCAAATGAGTAGTAAAGATGTTTGAAAAGATCACATGGTGTTCGACAGGCAATGACCATTTAGGAGGAAAACTGCCCTTCTTCTGTAATGCAAAACCAGACAGTGGCTCTCTGAAATTTTAGCATACCAATGAATAACATTTAACAGGAAAAAAGAGGCAATTCAACCAGGTATTAAAAATGGCCTTAGATTAAAAATAGATGATGCAACTCGATATTATTAAAAACTCCAAGTTTAGATTTTAATGTGTTACTAAATTCTAACGGTAAGATTTTCATATGCTTGCATTAGCAACATGTATTTATTCACAAACAAGAAAAGAATACTGTCCTGGGTTCAGCAGTAGCAGTCATTTTTCTCCTTCTTAGTAGTTGGTGCAGTGCTGTGGTTTTGACTTTCTTCCTGGGAACAGCGCTGATAACACCGATGTTTTTAGTTGTTGCTAAGTCATGTTTACTCTGACCAAGGACTTTGTGAGCCTTATGCTCTGCCAGGGAGGAGGGGAAGCTGGGAGGAAGCCGAGACAGGACACCTGTCCCAAACTAGCTAAGGAGGTATTCCATACCACAGCGCATCATGCCCAGGATGTAGAACTGGGGGCAGTTACCCAGAAGGGAAGATCACTGCTCAGTCAGGCTGTGTATCGGTTGTCGGGTGGTGAGCGGTTGTGTTCTCTTACCTTGAAAATTAAGTAATAAATAATTAAAATTATGTTATGGGACAATTTTGAAGTCCAGAAAGATTAGAGTTCATGTTTAATTAAAGTTTTAAATCATTCAGGTAAGTCTTTAAATGCTACAACCCATATTGCCAACATGAAAATATCTCTATTGTTGTGAAAAACAATAAAATCTGATATCAACTGCAAAATATAAATATATTTTATAAATATTACATAATATATATTTTTATTTCTTTATTTTCCAGGAATTAGACTGACTCTGAGATTTCACTAGGCAAATTAAATTTTACAATTTGGGAATGTATTTAAAATGTTCCCCTATTTACAGTTTAGAAATTCCTTTTTCTAAAAGAGATGACTCCATGTAAAAATAACCCCTTCCATCCTCTGCATTCCCTCCTTAAATCTTTATTAAGATATCTTGGAGGTTCACAACAGGCAACAAGAGCAGTGACGGCATAGTACAAATATAGTCTGGCTTGGCACAGTGCCCCTCACATCTAGAAGGGCTTTGCTCTAGAAATGGTATAAGTTCCATCACTCGGTTTCGGAGCAGCTGCCAGCACTCATTTCTGGCAGATGACACGTGCTATATGAAAGGCTCTAGCTAGGTTTCAAGGTATTAAAGGATAAACACTAGCAGAATCTATCACAGAGGCAGGCTTTCCTATCATCCATAATGACTAATAGAAAAAGAAAAATCTCATTGATGATTACTATAAAGATTATAAAAATCATTGATGTGAACTCCTTTCCAATACAGATCTAGAAGAACACCATAATTCATCCATCATAAGATATTGCCCTTAGCACAAAGAAACCTGGGACAGTATTTCATGGATAGGCAACATATGAAAATCTAAGACATTTCAAAACATCATTTAAGAATATTTTCCAGGTACAATTCCGAGTTACTTTTTTCAATAGCTTGTATACACCAAAGTAGCAATCATCAACTTTTGCTCTGTAGCTAGTGAGAAATGAACAAGCAGCACTCATTATTTACTTTCCTTTTCTTCATTAATTGATATGAAAAAAAGAAACTGTGAAAAAACAAAAATACTTAAACTGAAGAACAAATCCTGAGATGGCAGGAAAGGTGATTTCAGTGGATCTGTGCACTTTGCACAAATCAAAGATCTTTATCTCAGCCTCAGTCAGAAAGCATAATTTTGGACAATTCACTTTTTGGTTAGTTTAATTTGTGTTCTTTTTCCTCTATCATGAGTGGAATCTTCTCAGTAAGAAGTCATTTCTTTCTAAGATATTTGCCAGAAGCTAGAATAGTTATTATCCTATGTTGGTATTATTGTCATATTGTCAATGTAATGCAATATATAAATGTTAGACATCAGTAACATCAGTTACATATTTTAATTACTTTTCAGTGAATAGAATTAGACTGCTGCAGCTTCTTTTTCAGATTTTTTTTTTTCTCATATGCACGAGTAGCCTCATGATAAATTGATGATGATGAAGCTATGACTAGCCAACACTGTAATAATCCTTACCTCTCTAAAATGCTTAGTGCTGATATGATTCTCATAGCTTTCATTTCCAAAATCCTGAGGATGCATATAAGTTATACAAGAGTTCTGCATTTCCAAATTATGCTCTGATTTTTTTTCTGCTGGCAATTTGACATTCTCTCTTTTGTATTATTACTATAATTATAATCATCTATAATTTAACAGCTCTCTTTTTATAGCCATGTTAAGGTCCCCACAGTCTAAGCAAATATGCTATTGACTATAGTTTTTGTCTACAATAATAAAATAATTTATCATTCAGCAATTTTCTTTGCTATTTGTAAGGTTTTCTAACCTATCTACTCATGTTTCATTTTGTTCTGAAGAACAAACGGTACTTTAGTATGAGGATGAATCACAGAAGCAATCCATCTGTCTACCCAAATTTTGTATTTAACACATAATATCATGAAGGGTTTTATGGGAAAGGACAGGCTGAATCATTTCTGTTCATACTGTATCCCTATGCTGAGTTCATGCCAACAGAGGAAAATTATAAAACTATAGTTCTAGGTAAGACTGTAATTTTTCATTTCAGCATAGGAAAAAAATCTTGTTTCATTTTACCAGCATAACAAGAAACTGTAACTAATAAAATCTCCACAGATTAAGAGGCTAACAGGTGTCAATGATACTGGGTCTTTCCCACTGCTGTAGCAAGACCTGCTTGCTCCTTGGTCTTGCTACAAGAAGACCAAATCCCAATGTCCTCCCTTTCCCTTCCCTCCCCTCCCTTCACCTCCTGTGTTACTCTCTTTATGTTTCTTACTGCAGCAGTTTCCTCTACAGCTGGTTGAACAGCTTCTAGGACAATAAGAAATAGGCTGTCATATTCATAATGAGCCACTTACTGTATCACTCTCCCTTTTATATAGTTGTTTAATAATGCTTTCAGAATTAGGGTCATCTGACTTAGTTTTGATGAAAATATCAGTTATTTGTTGGGGGTTCACAGTCAAATTTTCAGCTGGCTTTATTCATTAAAATAAGGCATCTAATTTAGAAGCTTACTTTTCCTAACATTTTACTCTAGTCATTGGAAAGAGATAAAACGTTTCAGACTGTGATTTACCTTCCTTCTATGTTCTTTCCATTTCTTGCTTCTTCCCAGATGTGATTTTTGAACTACTTTTGAGGATGTGATAGGAGGATGTAGTTTTACTTGAACATTGGAAACACTGAGTTTTAAATTTTAGATTCTAAATATATAGATGATTAAATATTATCTACATTTTAATTTTATTACAGATGATAATTTCTTTCCTATTGCACTAAACTGTTAGTAATTACTACAGTCACTCCTGATAAAGTTGATGAGACTTGAAAAGTGTATTTTCATTTCTTGTCTTTCAGTTCCTGGCTTGGACATTCAAATGGTAAGGCATTCTGCTAGGAGAGTTTTCAAGTCTTTCTTATGAGCTGTTGTAAGAAGGCTTTGCACTGAAATTTTCTGTTCCTGCATCTGGTGACACAAATGAAATGTTGTAAGTGATTTTATTTTTTTTTTATTTTTAATATTTAATATTAGGCAAAATAATGGTAGTTTTATTTCTCTGCTGATGTCAAAGATTACATCCTGAGAGTTTCAAATTAGACACTTGGGAAAGAAAAATCCAATATAACACAGGAATAGGCTACTTAGGTTGTGGAATGCCCTTGGAGATTTTCAAGCCTTGGCTAGTGTCGTGGTTTAAACCCAGTCAGGTAACTTGTTCACTCACTCCCACCCTTCTTTCCCTCCCCCTACTCCCAGAGGGTCGGAGAGGAGAATCGAAAAGAATGCAACTCCCACGGGTTAAGAACAGTTTAGTAACTAAGGTATAACACAAATCACTACTGCTACCATCAATAATAACAATGATAAAGGAAATAAGGGAAGAGAATACAACACCTCACCACCAGCCAACCGATAACTCACCCCCCCAGCCCGACCAACCTCTGACCAATGCCTCCTCCAACCCTGCAGTCTCCCAGCCCTTCCGGCTAACTCCCAGTTACATCCTGGGCATGACGTGCTGTGGTATGGAATACCTCTTTGGTCAGTTTGGGTCAGGTGTCCTGTCTCTGCTTCCTCCTGGCTTCCCCTCCTCCCTGACAGAGCATGAGGCTCACAAAGTCCTTGGCCAAACCAAAACATCCTTGTTATCAGCTCTGTTCCCGAGCCGAAAGTCAAAACACAGCACTGCGCCAGCTACCAAGAAGGAGAAAAATGACTGCTACTGCTGAACCCAGGACAGCTAGACAAGCCACAGCTGGCCTTTTCTACTGTTGGGCACAGTTGCATTCTGAGTAGGAGCTGTCCAAAGACATCTATTGTGGTTTAAGCCCAACCAGTAACTCAGAACCATGCAGCCGCTTGCTTACTCTCCCTCCTTCCCACCCCTACTCCAGGAAGGATGGGGAGGAGAATCGAAAGAATGTAACTCCCACTGGTTGAGATAAGAACAGCCCAGTAACTAAGGCATAACACAAACCACTACTGCTACCATCAATAATAATAATGATAAGAGAAATAACAAGGGAAGAGAATACAACTTCTCACCACCCACCGACCAAGACCCAGCCCAACCCGAGCAGTGATCTAGCCCTTACGGATAACTGCCCCCAGTTTATATAGTGGGCATGATGTGCTGTGGCATGGAATACCCCTTTGGTTAGTTTGGGTCAGGTGCTCTGTCTCTGCTTCCTCCCATATTCCCTTCTCCCCGGCAGAGCATGAGACTCACAAAGTCCTTGGTCAGAGTAAACATTACTGAGCAGCAACTGAAAACATCGGTGTTACCAGCGCTGTTCCCAGGAAGAAAGTCAAAACCACAGCACTGCACCAACTACTAAGAAGGAGAAAAATGACTGCTACTGCTGAACCCAGGACAACATCCCTCCCAAATCGAACTTTTATCATAGTGTGATAATGTGTGGCTTAGTCAAACAGAAGAATTAAAAAGAGTCAGCTGTTGTCACAAAGGCTGTAATGCCAGGATAAGCATCCTGTGGAATTACAGCCTTTAGCCTTCTTGATTGATTTCCAGGAGCTGCTCCATATCACATCAACATACCGTGTTAAAAAAGGATGAGAAAGCTGATCAGCCCTCATATGTAGATGATAGAGAGAAGTGTATCACTGACTTCAGCCTCTCTATTTTTTTGTGGCTGATTCTGGTCTGATAACAAGTTTTGTATTGCTTGCTCTGGGCTGTCTGCATATTAAATAGTGGTGTCCTTGTGGCCTAAGACAAACAGCACTGCCTAGGCAGGAAAACAAGGAACTTGATCTAGAAGCTGTTCAGGTGGTCTCAAAATTTCATTTATAGCTTATATAACCGAAATATAACCTGTATTTGTTTTCTTTGTAAGTTTATGTTTTCCTCTTTGCCACAGGCAAATGCGTTATCCTTGCTATACTTCAGCATAATTGATAGAGTTACTACAGAGCACAGCACAAAACTTCTGCTCTTAGACTTTCAAATATTGCTAAAGCAAACGGATTCACCAACAAAACTATTTAAACTATATGGTCTCCTCAAGTGTCTTTACCCTAATAAATACTCCTTGATGCATTATTGAGTCATCAGTGAATGTAGGAAAAGAATCTTTTCTTTCTTATAGTCTAATGTTAATAAATCAATGTTGATAGGTTAAACTGGAAATAATTCTTATAGGAGTCTGCAGCAAAGGAAATGGATGTCACTTTATGGAATTATTGCATAAAATTAAGTGTTTAGGTAGAGATTGAAAAAATAACAAGGACATTGCTGTTACATCCTACAAATAGCATTCATCATAATTTTCCCTTAATGGGAATGATGACATACTTGTGTATACAAATTCTATATGTGTTGTTCAAATAAAACACTCCCTGCAGTGATCAGTGTTTCAGGTAACAGTATTGAGCAAACTCAATGCACGCAACAGTATTGAGCAAACTCAATACTGTGGTGTGACATCTCTATTGTAGTTTGCATTTTACCTCCTTTGAGATACAGATAAATTCTGTGCCCTGCCTGCTTAAATGAAAGGTACATTTTTCTTCAGGATTGGGCAGATCAGTGAGAGCCATAAAATATTAACGATGAAAGCTTGGGGAATTACATGTGTCTAGGACTACAGGTTTATCTTGCTAGCAGAGCTCTCTCAGTCTAACGTATTTCTTTTGTGTGATCTCCATCAGAAATGATATACTTTAAAAAATATTGTCTGTTCAGATTAAAATACATGTGGCTTTTCAGACCAGATAAAGGGCCTGACTTTTTTTTATTTAATGATCCAAGTTTATCTAATATCTTTATAAATTTTGCAGCACACTTTTGTGGTTTAAAACCAGAGCAGTTTGCCAGCATGCCATTTCCTTTTATTTCTCCTGCTGTCACACTACTCTGCAGAATACTGTTCCTCACATGGAGCTGGAAGAATGAAGTAGAAGAACAGAGAAAGAAAATGATCGCTTAACTTGTAATCTTGTGTCACAACAAGGAAAAGATACTTAACCAGCTACTTGCCATAGTGATTAAAATGTGTGCTGCAGGAGAAGCTGTTAAGAGGCATCTGTTTTTTTACTAGTTCCTGTTATTTGGGTATTGAAAGGGAATGGGAAGTGATCACGCCTTCTTCCTTTCCCAAGGAAGAAAGGAGTTTTATTTTGCTCCAGTGTAAAATGAAATACCAAGTTTCACAAACACAAGAAGAATCAAGCAGTCTACTATGACACGTTAGCTTTTTGCACAGTGTTAAATGAAATCACACATTGCTTACACTTTCTAATTATCAGTATGCAGTGCGGAGGATGCCTTTCAGTAATTAACCTTTCAATTAATCAAAGTACATTTTCTGTTTCTGTCTTCAAATTATCTTATGGTTTTCCTTAGTTTATTTTTCATCTTCTGCTTTGTGCTCTAGATCTTGCCTTTGAAATAATAAGATCAAGTCTCTGATCCACAGCTATCAAAATTTTGAGCTACATTGTAAAATGACAGAGCAAAGCTTCTTAGAATTCTTATAATTCTGAATTATAATATAACTTTTAGCATGATAGAAAAATTACTTACAAGACCCATTTTTCTTGGCTGAAATAACATACACTGATAAAGGTGATCCGCTTTTCATTCAACCACAAAGGTTATTCATTTTGGAAATGTAGAACTCTTTTTGTAGAGGGACATTATTGTTCCTTATACAGTAGAACTTCATCAAAATGAAAACTTGTCTTACATATCGTCTGCAGGTTTTCTCTTCATTTACCACAATGTTTCCACTTCTTCATCTGCATTTCTTAGGCAATAATTTTTGACACTGTATTCTATAAGAATATGGAGGCATTTATAAACAAAGTACAGTACATGTAGGAGGCTTATGAGCCAATCTATGCAAATATGAAAGTATTGATGATTTTATTAAGTTTTCTAATCACACAGAGTAGAGAAGTCAGGTGAAAAACCTCACAATTTTCTATTTTACAAAATAATAAAAAAAAATAGAAACCATTTAATAAATTTAGTTTTATTGGGCAAATAACATCATAGACAATTTTTTTCTCTTTTTTTCTGATTAGGCAAATATATATCTTTCAACTCAACTACATGTCAGAGACTAAATGCTAAATAGCCACCCTAAATGAGCTGCTAGTTCACCTGATGTTTGATCAATATGTCTACTGGATTAATAGATCATTACCTTGAGCATGTGTATTTGCATGTTTTTTCTTACACTCATACATACTCTAATAAAAGCCTACAAATGAACTTCTAAAGAGAAAGTGTCCCAATGGGAAACAACCCTGACCTACTTCTGAGGGTTACAATATTGAGGGATTTACCAATGTGCAGTATTCAATGTCTATTTTTTCCACTTCAAAAAAAAAAATGTTTAGGCTATTTAGAAATCTTGGCTAAAAGAAGAGTGGTCAGCTTTAACATGGAGATCATTATTAACAACCTTTATGGGTCACAGTGAGTGACCTGCCTCCCAGTTTATTTTTCAGTAATGGAAAATCCAGTTTTTGTCTGATGCCAGGAGGCAGCTGAAATTAGAGTCAACCCTTCAGCTCCTTTTTTGGTAACAAAGTTATCCATTTGTTTACATTTTTAGAATTACAAAAGAAATAATGAACTTACTTTCTGCAGTGAAAGATTGATATTATAATCAAAAAAAAAAATAACAACAGAGTACAGGGAGATTCAAACAAGAAAAAAAAAAGCCTTATCTTGCAATTTTTCTTCCCAAACCTGTTTTTTTCCATTTTTAAATTCTATTTTGTATCTTTAACAATGTCTTCAGGACTCATAAGAACTGTATGAACACTACTGCAAATGTTCATACAATTCCACTTTGTATATATATTTACTTTAGTTACACTTTTTCACATTTTTTGTTTATGAATACTCTTTTGACTAAATTTAACAGATCCAGAACTATGCAAAATATGAATTTTATAATTCAAACTGCAGCAAGAAATGTTTAGACACCTATCAACTGGACAAAATTTTGTGAA